GCATTTCACTCTTCCACCACCGACCACCACGACGTGTCAGGGACCTTCGCCCCAACTCCCTGGTCTTTCTAGTTTTCTTGCTGGTGCCACTATGTCCTCTGTCCTCATGTCACAGTCAACTCTTCCTCTCCCTACCCATTATTAGCCGCCGATATATGTTCCACAGTACTGACCGGATCGCCTCCCACAGTTTGATGGCAGGGCCTCCGAGCTCCAAGGATGGATCTCTACTGCTGAGGAGCAACTTCACTACCATGGTGTCGCCATGGAACCGTGGCCCGTCGAGATGTCCTCTCGTTTCACAGGTCACGCAGTCTCCACCTGGCGGGACTTCCTCGCCCTTCGCTCACAACGCGACATACATGAGGGCATGTCTTATCCTGAGTTTCGCGACTTCCTTCAGCAGTACTTTTCTCGCCTTGCGCCAACCTGCGATCCGATTACCTGTGTGGCTGAGATTAGATGGTTTGGTGGCGACAATGCCTTAGAGTCATACATCACGGCATTTCACCGTGTATGCGCTCAGATTCCCGTCACAACCGTATCAGAGGACACCATGATTTAGCGATTCCGCCCAGGCCTACCCCACCCATTCTAGTTGCAGATGTTGGCATATTCGATCCCCACCTTACCAGAGGCTTTCAACATTGCTAGGGCCATTCATCTCACTTATGCTCCACTCGTCGGCCCCTCGCCTCAGCCTGCCGCTGCCCAGTTTGCTACTACTGTAGGCCCTCACCGCTCCCAGCCTCGGCAGTCTTCCACATACCGTCGTGGCCCTCGTAGAGGCTCTGGACGATCCCTCTCTCGTTGCTTGCATGCGCTGCTTCATGATCCGTCGAGTATTGATTATGGCACTGCCTCAGATGATTCTGCGAGTGACCCAGATCAGGGACCCGACACCCTGTCCCCCGCGGAGGACGACGCCTCTTCCCATGACGACCGTCTTGTCCGGGCCCTTTCCGCCCTCCTCCTACGTCGACCCTCATCCTCCAAGACTCGCTCTACGGTCCCTCATCTACCCCTCCCAGCGGGTTTTGTGTTCCCTCGCAGCCGCTTGACCATCGCTGAGAGTGAGGACCTTCGTACACGAGGCATCTGCATCCGCTGTCGCCTCACCGACCATACCTCCTCTACGTGCCCGTACGCAGACGCCCTCCAGAGTCACTTCGCACAGCAGGCTCGCCCTCAGGCTGTTCCCCCCGTCACGACCTCCAGCGCAGCACCCACCTAGCCGCCATGTCTCATTTCCCTGACCCTCCTACGGTAGCAGGCATACCCGTTCGCAACTCTACCTTTGCGCCGCTTGCTACTCTTCCCGATGACTCTGCCCCGACTTGATCTTTGGTTGACCCTACCAGCACAGGTATACCTTCTCCTTCCTCGCCTAACGTCTCTCGTGACCCCGCTCCTCCACGTCCTCCTACCAGGCGTGTTCTTCGCACGGCCCGCTGCAGTGCTCCCCTTATTGCATTCGAGGATATCATTCACTTCCTGGACCTCGAGTGTGTCAAGGTCCATCAGGAACGTCTCCGCCTTAAAGAGCGCACCCTGTCCACGATGTCTCAACGCCTACACAATCCCGATCGCACCTTACCGATTATTTCAGTGTGCCTTGGGACCTCTACTTGAGCGTATCGCGCACTATGGGACTCTGGCTCTACTGGCGACTTCATTCATCCTCGCATTGTTAAGGAGGCATCTCTCTATACATCCCCCTACCCTTCCATTGTTACTGTCACGCTTGGCGAAAATAAAGCCAAATCCTTGGTCGACTCTGTGGTGCCTGATCTTCCATTCTCCTTCCCCTTGCAGATGCCCCACAGCCTTCGCAAGGCCCCTCGGTTCCATGACCAGTGGACCTTCGACGTCATGGAAACCCTATACGATCTTGTTCTCGGCACAACCTACTCCCATCAGTTCGCCCATGTCGGCCCCGATTGGACCCACAACGATCTCGTCCTCGACGCCGAGGATGGGAAGCAATACCGTATTCCGTTGCTGGGCAAATCGGACTCTATACTTCCCCCCCCTGTTAATGCCACCATTTGTACACCTACCCAGTTCCATCACGTCCTTCGTCAGCCTGCTGTAGAACTTTATGTTGTCGACATCACGAATCTCCTTACCTGCGACTCCATGCATCAGGATGTTGAGTTGGTCGAGCTCGATCCACCACCTCCAAAGCCCCCCGACCCTCCTGATTCCTCAACTTCCTTACGCTCCTCTACCCCTGCTAGCACATCTCACTTTCTCGCTTCCCTTACCACTGATACACCCTCAGTCCCTACCCCCATACAGACCCCCTCCACCTCTGCTTCAGAGGCCGCCACTGCCAAGGAATTTGACACCCTTCTTCCTTCCTTGCCGCCTAGCGTTTGTGCCCTCCTTCGTGAGTATCACGATGTTTTTCCACCATCCGTCTCCTACAGCAACATTCCTCTCATGCATGGTATCGAGCACCACATCCAGCTTGAGCCCAACTATCGCATTCAGAATCACGCCCCTTATCGCCTTTCGGTTCCCAAAGCCCAGGAACTGAAGCGCCAACTTGAGGAGATGCATCGCCAGGGCTTCATTAAACCGAGTACTTCCCCATGGAGTGCCCCGGTCCTCTTCGATCGCAAGAAGGACGGCACCCTTCGTCTCTGTATTGACTACCGCGGTCTGAACCACTACACGGTCAAAAATAGTTATCCCATGCCTCGCGCGGATGATCTGTTTGACCGCCTCGCCGACCACCATTTCTTCACGGAGATCGATCTTCGTAGCGGATATCACCAGATCTGCGTAGCCGAGGAGGACCAGCCCAAAACTGCTTTTCGTTCTCGTTTCGGGCACTACGAGTTTACCGTCATGCCTTTCGGTCTCCGTAATGCCCCCGCCACTTTCCAGACGGCTATGAACACGATGCTCCAAGACCTTCTTGAGGACTATGTTCTAGTCTACATTGACGACATCCTGATCTACAGTCGTACCCTAGAGGATCACCTGACCCATCTTCGCACTGTCCTGCAGCGACTACGCGACCACGGGTTCTATGCGAAGCTTTCTAAATGCAGCTTTGCTCAACCTAATGTCGACTTCCTCGGGCATCAGGTATCCGAGCACGGACTCCATATGGACGACTCGAAGATTCAGTCCATCGTCGATTGGCCTACGCCTACATCTCTTCCCCCCCTGCGTGGTCTTGGTCTGACCAACTACTATGGCCATTTTCTCAAAAACTACGCGCAGTATTCTTCTCAGCTTACCTCTCTGACCCGTGGGTGTCTACCTTTTCATTGGACCCCGGCTCACGAGGATGCCTTTCGCTCCCTCAAGGGACTTGTCACGTCAGCCCCTGTCTTACACTTAGTACCCGACTACTCGCGTCCATTCATCGTCACCACCGACTCGTCTGACTTTGCTATTGGAGCTGTTCTCTCCCAAATCTATCCAGCCCCCTCTACTTCTCCCGATTCCACAGAGTCCCGCCTACCTCGCATTCCTCGCTTCCCCCCTCCACCTCCAGCGACTGCGACTCATCTTGCACCCATTGACCCCACCCTGTTAGGGGCTCCACCCCGTTATATTCCTGACGTCGCTGAGGACGGTGCAGTTGAGTCTCGCGATGGAGAGTGTCCGGTTGCTTATCTATCTCGACAGCTACTTCCCGCTGAGTGTAACTATACTGCCGACGAGCGCGAGGTCCTTGCGCTGGTCTACGCCGTTAAGAAGTGGCGTCATCACTTGCACGGTCACACTTTCATCGTTTTGACGGACAACTCTGTCCTCGCCGCCTTCCAGACGAAGCCTAAGCTCACTTCTCGTCAGGCTCATTGGTGGTGTGACCTCTCCGAGTTCGATTTCACCATCAAGAAGATTTTCGGCAAAAGCAATCGCGTAGCAGATGCCTAATCCCGCCGCCCCGACCTTCAGTGCGAGGATCGTCAGCTATCTGCTATTTCAGCTCCCACCATCCACCCCGCCTTTCAAGATGAGTACCGCCTCGCATACACCCAGTGCCCTGAGTTTCAGTCCATCTACGCTGACCTACAGGCTGGCAAGTCCGTCCCTAACTTCTAGCTCGATCCCTCTGGACTCCTATACTGGCTTGGTCGCCAAGGTACCCGTACTCCTCGCTTATGTGTGCCCTCTACTGGTCAGCTCTGTGTTCGGGTTGTCGTTGAGTGTCACGACCAGCGCGCCGCCGGTCATCTCGGTGTCTTCAAGACACTTGACCGCCTCTACTGCCATTACTACTGGGAGCATCGTCGTCCCTTCACTAAGGAGTACATCCGAGTCCGCACCTACAGGATCTGCCAGGAGGCCAACATTCCTAACCACCCCCCCTACGGTCTTCTTCAACCCTTACCCATTCCCACTCAGCGTTGAACTTCTGTCTCCATGGACTTCATCGGTCCTCTTCGTCCCCCTACCCCACGAGGCCACGACGCCATCTTCGTCGTTGTTTGCCGGTTGACTAAGCATGCTCACTTCCTCCCTTGCAAGTATGCTAGTTCAGCCAAAGACATCGCTTCCCTATACTTCAACCGCATTTCCATTCATCACAGTCTTCCCACTAGCATCGTCTCTGATTGCGATCCCCGCTTTACTTCTCATTTCTGGCGTGGACTCCATGAGATCTATGGCTCCGAGCTCCGCCTTTCTTCCTCCTATCACCCCCAGTCAGATGGACAGACTGAGGTCACCAACAAAACTCTTGGGAGTATCCTCAAGAAGTTTGTTGAGAATGACTCGGATTGGGATCTGCATCTTGCTCACGCAGAGATTGCTTATAACCATGCTATTTCACCTGCCACTGGCATGTCTCCCTACTACTGTGACTTGGGATACCATCCTCGTGTCCCATCTGACCTTCTCCGTCCATCTCAGATCCATCCCGACACCAAATGCCCTGCCCTCGATGACTKGGTAAAGGAGATGGATGCGCTTCTTAGCAAGGCTCGTGAGAGCATTGCTGACTCCCAGGCTCRCATGGCCACTCGCGCTAACCGTTCTCGCATCGACCATCCCTTCAAAGTTGGCGACGAGGTTCTTGTCGACGCACGTCACTTCCAGCCCGAAGCTGACACGCTTCGAAAATTCAGACGTTGATATATTGGACCATGCACCATTCTTGCACCCGCCGGACCCAACCATGACTGTCCGGTGAGCTTCAAATTGAAGCTCCCCGATTCCATGTACCGCGCTAACTTACATGACGTGTTCCATGTATCTCTTTTGCGCCCCTTCAGACGGTCTCCTCGATAGTTCCATGGTCGACCTTACCCTCGCCCCTCTCCCATCATCATTGAGGGTCACGAGGAGTTTGTCGTCTCTGATATCGCGTCCCGGCGTATGACTGATAATGACCCTCCCCGCCTCGAGTATCTCGTTCGATGGAAGCATTGGAAGGGTTACCCTGACGAGGAGTCTACTTGGGAGCCTCTTGAGCACCTGAAGCATGCTATGACTTTCGTGAGTGCTTACGATCGTGCTCATCCTTTCCCTTCCATCATCCTCCCCCCCTACTTCTCGTCCTTCTATTACTGACCCATCTACCTCTGCGACCACTAACATTCGCCGTCCTCCATCGATGGGTCCTCCTGCTCCACCGGTACCCGCCTCAGGTCCTCCTTCCCCTGTGGATGTGGTTCTGCCTGTTGTTGCAGTTGATTCCTCTCGCCCTCAACATACCCATCGACTTCCTTCTCGTTATCGTGATTGACCCTATACCCCCCATACGCTCTCTATCTTTTACCATTCCTGGACACTTATGCAGCAGCTCCTGGTTTCAGCTTCTACATTCGGCTTTTACATTCGGCTTCTACATTCGGCCTCTACATTCGACTTTCGACCTCAGTGCTTCTCCTCAGTACCAGAGTACCTGTCGCATTGTTCCAAACTTCTACTCGGTTCTTGCGGTACTCCCACTTCATCCAGGCTACTTCGGTTCGACTTCAGTTAAGAGACTCATCAGTTGGACTACTTCACAGTCTTCACTTTTTCGGCTACAGAGTTCCCATCATTCCCACCTATCCACCACCCTCGAGCTTACCCTTCAGTCACATGATGACCCCTATTTTCCCTGTCTATGTGGGTGTGTCCGTCTGCCCCCCTTCTGCCTTACCGTATGCTGCGCGCCCTCCTCTGGAATGTACGTTTTCTTCGCTTGCGGCTTTTGGCCACATGTCTATGCCACCATAGCCCTCTCTCCTTCCATGCTCACCTGTGTGCTCCCTTGTGTGAGTGCCTTCCCCCTTTCAGCTGGCGCTACCCGTTTGATGGTTTCCATTGAGCCCGGTGTCGTGCTGTTACTCTCCCTCTGAGCCTGATGACCCTTACCTGGTTGTGTGGGTGCCCCCTTGGAGTTTACTCTGAGAGTTGTACCTGCCACCTTCCCACCCATTCGTACCTCTGCCATGCGACTGAGTTCCCTTCTCTTTTGTTCACGTATTGTGCATTATGTACAGGGCACATGAGACTGTGCCACATTCTTTTTCGACTTAGGACATTGGTTTAGTTATTCTTTGGCCTTTAGGGCCCTGGTGTTGATTTATATTAAGCCTCTTTGGCTCAGGAGATATTTTTCTCTTTCTTGGCCGACACAGGTCAGACATTTTTCTCTTTCTTGGCCGACACAGGTCATACATTTTTCTCTTTCTTGGCCGACACAGGTCAGACATTTTT